TCGCAGCGCCGAGCCCTGCCGGCAAGAGAGGCCGCGCCGAGGGGTCGCCCCAGCTACCCGCCGTCGCACCGTTTCATCCCCGCTGCCGCGCATGCTGCCCTCCCACGCAGCCGGGAGGGAAAGCTGTAATTACCCATCTGTCTCACCCATGTTACCAGAAATCCTGAGGGGGTTATTCTTTGGAAGAGTAATTTTGCCCCTGGTCTTATCTTCCGCAAGCGCTCTTGAGTGCGAAGCGCCCATGCCTGGCAGGTGTTAGCCATGCTCCCCTGGAACTGCCAGCACCTGGCTCTTGGCATCTGCAGCGTTTGGGAGGTTGTTTGAAGCTCCTAGGGACACGGCGAGGTGGAAATCTCGACTTTCATTCACACACCCCCCCCAAAAAAAAAAAAAAAAAAGGGAATGAAAAGGATATTTAAAGCTTTCATGATTACAGAGAACAGCCTGCATGTTTGTTCAGCGCGCACGTAAACATTCAGCAGCCAGAAGAGAAATAACCTGATTTTTTTTTTCTCCTGTTTCACAGATTGTAAGCTCGTCTCATGATCTTTGAACGCTTGGCGTTGGGAATGCCACAGACAGCAAAGGAGAAGTGGAAGACAGACGAAACACAGAAACCAAGGAAACTCCATTGAACCTACCCATGATTTGCACACTGGGGAGAAATTTGTGCAGCAATGCCCATTAGCGATGGTGCTGGGTGTATGGCAAAACCTCTTCTCTGTGAGTTCCCAGGCTTTTTGTGAGATCTCCCTCTGCAAGTAAAGTTGCATTTTCTTTCCATTTAACACTGTTGACTTACAGAGTTTTGAAGGGTTTTTTTTTAATTCTACAAAGAAGTTACAATTCATGCAATAAACAAGGACTTCTTTTCTTTTCAAGACAAATGAATACTCATCTTCTAGTTTTCTACACAGGCAAGGTGTTCTGTCAGTATAGCTGAAGCTTTTGTTATCTGCATTTTAGCTTGTGTGAAATCCAGATACTGGGCCACACTTGTATAAGGTCACTGAGAAAATAAAGTGTGTGAAAAGCTTAAGTTGTGCTGGTCTTGTCCTCTCCCTCTCCTCCACGTGCTCCACCAGCTCCCATCATTGCCTTTTGACAGATTTCAGTACCCCAGGTCACTGGAGGAGACCTCCATATTTCACATTCAAAGCTCCATTAGAACAGAGCATCTCTGCTTAGCAGCACCAGAACTGTAACCCCAGAGAAAATGAGCACAACTAGAATCCATTTAAAGCAAAATTAATGCTAATTAGCTGTAATCAACAACTCAAAGAACAACATTTACTCAGCAAGCTGTAGATATTGCAGTAGTGGTTCACTTGTTAGGCGAGAGTAGGCAGAAGATGGGATACGGGAAAAGGAAAATAAACCTTACTGCAGGCTCCGGCAGGCGTGCTCTAGCAAAGCACACTGCAATGGTTTGAAGGCATCACTGCTCCTAGCTGCCTGCCTACCTGCCTTCTCACCCTCCTGCTGCTGCCAGAGGTGACTGTCCCCGCAGCAGCCGGCAGGGAGGAGCACGAACCTGTAATTCCCCACACGCACACATCGCACCCCACCCCCGGCTGCTCCATTCTCAGCACCGGCTCACAGCCACCCCCAGCAGCAGTGCAAGCTCATACAGCAGAGTGGGAACTGTAGCAGCTGAGTCACTTCTGCTGAGCCTACGGGGGCAGCAACCTCCAGACAGGGGGCGAAGCGTGGGGAGCTGAGGGCAGCGTTGCCTCGAAGGGCCCTGGCGTGCTTTGCCATAGCCTGCCTCTCGGAAGCCGTCCCTCCTACGCTGAGGGCGCTCTGGAAACTCTCGCCAGTGCTGGTGAGGAGCGAAGTTTTATTATGAATGGTATTTCTCAACTTGCAAAGGCCTTCTAACACCCCAGTGTGGGCCCCTGGCCCTTCTCTAGGTGCAGAAGGCGAGAAAACAGATGATCTGTACACTGATTTTTCCTGGGAAAGCTTTTTATGTACTTTCCACTACAAGCGAAGCCCAGACACATATGCTGTAGAGCCCTGCTCAGAGTTACCAGAATTAACCCGTAGCGCTGGGCTAACCTCCCTCGGCAAGTCAAGGCTCCAGAGATTGCCTTTAGCTCAGTGCAGCTGCTTCGATGGAGGCGGGCTCAAATCAGTGCACTCACAGTTACCGGGTGTGCTGCTGCACCCCAAAGCCGTGAGGCCCGCTCTGCACAGCCGTGCAGTGGCCGTGGCAGCACAGCGCCTCGCCAGCCCCCAGTGGGAGTAGGAGAGCAGGAGTCATACTCGCAGCACTCCCACGGCCATCGGACGTGACACCAGCGCTGCGGTGCCACGGCTGGGCCCGCGCAAACTTTCTCGCGTTTCCAGCAGAGAGGCTGGCGCTCTGACGCTGGGTAGGAAAAGGGCACGTTGCTGAGAAATCTCAGCCTCAAGTGTGTAAAACATGAACTCCCCTCCTCCCCACCAGCGTACACGACCTTATCTTCAGGTGTTTAAATCATTCCTTGAAAACCTGCCTCTGAGTGAGCGGCTGACCAACGTCCCTGCAGAGAGAGTGGGGGTGGCAGGACAGGGAGGTTTGGCAGGGGGTTGGATCCTGCACGGGGCAGACAGGGAGAGGATTATGTTGAACAAGATAACAGAGGTTGCGAGGGAGCCGCGCAACCCATCCCTGCCAGCGACAGCCTCGCCAGATGGCCCTTCTGGCCTCGTCTACACAGCAAAGCTGCTTTGGCCTCAGCAACGCCCGTTTTGAGCCAGGCGGCTGTGCCCGCCTCTG